AGAAAGGCAGGATAAAGCCCAACTCGAAGAATTGGGGGTGGGGGGTAGGCGGTGGTAGCGGGGACAAAGCGTATTCGAATGGACGTTATTTGAATCATAAATGCGTTTGAAACGGACATATTTTTGTTATATTTTTTTCGATATGACTTTTTGGGAACACATTTTATGTACTATGAATTTCCAAGAACGTTTAAGATGTTATGGATTAGGTGATTTAAAATCGTATGATAACTGCTATAGTTTCATAGAAATGAGCTTGAAGCGTCCATTTGTGTTATATTGTGAAGAACCGCTTATTACTTTGAAAAGTAAATGCTATATGTGTCCTAACTTTGATATCTTTATTCAAAGATTTAATATAGGGATGTTGGAATAATTGCTAAGTTTGTAAGACAGGAATATTATGACAGTCATTTACATTTTATTTTCATTTTTATTTTATTGCATTTCAAGATTTATAAGCGGGTTTATTTTTTTCACGTGTTTTTCATGACAGGTGTCGCGTAATAATCACACGGGCGTAATTTTACCACGGTTTACTCATGTTTTTTAAAACTTGCCTGTAACTTTATTTACAAACAAAGCGCTGTGAAAATTGGTATAAATCTTCAGCATAGAACAATTATTTCGGTGCATGTATTTGAATATTCTGACAGTATTTATTTTCTCCAGAATATATGCGTGAAATTGAGCTAAATCGCCAAATTTTCCATCTTTCGTAGGGCATTTTTAAAAAACCTGCAAGGTTCTAAAAGTATTAAATTCATGAAAATAAATGCTTTTAAAACTTGTCAGGGGTGTTAAACTTTGTTTCTTGTCCATTGTTTTATTTCTAAATTAGCTACAACTAATCTTAAGCTGTAGTTGAAAATGGCCAATTTCTCCGAAAACTAGGTCAAATTACCCGAAAATTTTGCCCGAAAGGGTACCTTAAATTTAAAACTTGTCATTCATAACCATACACATTTATTCTTAAGAATAAAGGTCTAATAACTTGCCAGATATTTTAATATTCACAATTCAATGATTGTTTTTAATCAACAAAGGCCATAAATATAAATAACACGATTTAAAGCGGCTTGTATCCTTCGCCCGTTTTTCAAAATGGCGGACAAATTCTGTTAAAATGTGATCTAAATACTTTCTATTAACTGAGTACGTATGCGTCGTTATATTGCATTAACTTTGATATCAAAATGTTAAAAAACTTTTTCCAAACTCAACAAATCATTTAGACAAAAAATGACAATTCAAATTAACAATGGAACTCCACAGCTTTACTGCATTTAAGTCATCTGCCATTTTGCCAATTGAGGATCACTTAACTATGGTGTCTGATTTGTGCTACTTCGTTATTTTGTTTGGTTGTGATTGTTACAAGTAGCAAAACCTTGAAGAGAGATAGAATGAGAAACATATAAAACAATCTATTTTGTCACACACCTTTTTTACCTTTTTCAGTATTTTGTGAATACTATTAGGCCCTTCAACCGCAACAACACAAAAAAGATAAAATGATGAGAGGGGACACATTTTTTCCATGTGTCATAGGGTGAGAGAAATGTGCAGCCTGACTGGAACTCGAACCAGGGACCCTAAATAGTGAACACTTCTGAACTGTGACATACTCCCCTGCTATATTGAAATTCTTCCTCGAGTTTCACAGAGTTACAGAGAAATGTAAATTAAATTCTGAGCTAATTATTATTCAGTCACTGTCCCCCATTGGGCGCAAAGTGTAAATGGGTGAGAAAAAAATGTGCAGCCCGAGCAGAAATCGAACCTGGGACCCTCAGAATACCATATCGCTGCCCTACCGACTTTCGCTGCCCTACCGACTTAGCTATCTGGCCGCTTACACATCATCTCCCCAAAATAGTGAAATAATTTCTGACCCCTGATATATTTAAATTCGTCCTTGAATTTCACAGAGTTACAGAAAAATACATATAAACTCTGAGCTATATTCAGTCACGGTCCCCCGTTTGGTGCCAAGTGTCACAGGGTCACTGAGAAAAAACTGCAGCCTGAATGAAACTCAAACCCGGGACCCTCAGAATACGGTACCATGGTTCTATCGACTTAGCTATCCGGCCGCTTACACATCATCTCTGTTAAATAGTGAACAGTTCTGAACCATGACATACTCCCCTGCTATATTGAATTCATCCTCTAATCTCACAGAGTTACAGAGAATTGAGCCACGTCACGACAAAACCAACATAATGGTTTTTGCAACCAGCATGGATCCAGACCAGCCTGCGCATCCGCGCGCAGTCTGATCAGGATCCATGCTGTTCGCTTGCAAACCCTATAACAAGTAAAGAAACTGACAGCAAACAGCATGGATCCTGGTCAGACTGCGCCGATGGGCAGGCTGGTCTGGATTCATGCTGGTCGGAAACCCATTATGTTGGTTTTGTCGTGACGTGGCTCAAATGTAAATTTAACTCTGAGCAATATTCAGTCATGGTCCCTTGTTCGGTGCCAAGTGTCACAGGGTGAGAAAAATGTGCAGCCTGACCAGAACTTGAACCCGGGACCCTCGGAATACTGTACTGCGGCTCTTAGTCGTTTTATCTATCCGGCCACTTTCAAATCATCTCTCCTAAATAGTGAACAGTTCTGAACCGTGACATACTCCCCTGCTATATGTACGTTCATCCTCTAATTTACTGAGTTACAGAGAAATGTTAATTAAACTCTGAGCAATATTCAGTCACGGTCCCCCGTTTGGCGCCAAGTGGTTATATTAAAGCTGTAGCGTAATAATCACACTGGTTGAAATATTTCTCATAATCACTAACACAATGATTATTATAATTACTAAGAGGGTCATCATAACTATGTGGAGCTGCATGGCGACAACCAATATCATTATTGCCATTCAATGCGGTCAGTACCAGTACTATCGTAATTGAAAGATATTTTCTTTGTAATAAAAAAACCTTAAAAACAAAACTATGATTATTAATTACGATTAGTCGTCTTGTGGTCATAAAAAAAAGAATCCATAAAATGCCGTATTATTGAAAAAGAAATTATATTGCGGAAAACCTTTTGGAAAAAAATGTATTACCAGTATGTCTGATTAAGTATATGACCGTACGTGTGATCATCACGTTATTACCACACACCACTAGAGCGAAATTCATCACCAACACAATAAATAGCTTTTGTTACTAAGAGGGTTATCGTTATTTAGTAGCATTGAAACAACAATACCCTTTTTATATAGCTTACATGTTTACCCCTTCATTTCGGACTATTTAGCCAGCATCAACCTGCACCAATTTATCTTTACCTTAAAAGATTAGAAGATGTGTTATCAAATTCTTAAGGTACACTGATCAATGAATAATAAGAGCTAGTTTTAACATATACTGAATTTAACTTACTTTTATATCATATTATATTATGTAATTAGCGCGAATCCGTAATTGTGCCTTTTTTACATTTCACGTGAAAAACTTGTACATGTAATTGAGAAAATTTCATATTCATTATATGAAATACGAAAGCAATATTTTTTATTTTTTCATAAATTACTGAAATAGTGTGTTGATGTCTTAATTGTTGAAAACTTCTATAATGACACATATGTAATGCATATATTTCTGAAATAATTGACAATTTTTTCGCTAACATATCCCTGACATATTTCTGAGTTACATTGCTATTCTATTCTTTATTCCACTCAGATTCATGCAAACATGAGATAAATAATACATTTGCAATAAACATAATAAACGAGGCTAAAAACCATATATAAATATCACACAATATTATTAACTATAGCGGGAAAGTTCATAATCAACAAATATAACTTCGAAGTTATACAGATCAACACTTTTTTCAGGTTCATGAGTCAATTGACAGCATATACACATGTACATTCTTTGGTGTATCAAAACGGAACGTGGTTTTTATATAAGTTTAATATTATGGAAATGTAAATGTCATGCCAATTAAAAAAGAATTCACACCTTCATGGACCTCTGCTTTCCGTATACTTAACCCTTTTTCACACCATTACTATAACTAGATCTTTGCCATTTCGAGTCTTCCTTTTATTTATTTATTTATTTATTTATTTATTTATTTATTTATTTATTTATTCATTTATTCTTTTCATTTAATTTCGGATTTTACTATTATCTTGAATTGCATGCAAACACACAAAGCGCAACAAATAAGACTTAATTTATATATTTCAGCTAAAAAGGGGGACTAATTTTAAAAAAAAAACGGAGGGAAATCCATGAAACAGACTTTTTTTAACTATTTTAAAACAGAGAAACCTAAACTAAAAATATTTTTCAATTGTATCAGGCATTATTAATATTAATGTCTGTATCGAAAGATTGCACGCTGATATTTAGGAAAGAACAATTTCTGTCTTAAGTTTACACTTTAAGATGCCCCTATGCGGTGGAAAATCATAGCTTTTTAATAAAATTTACACCATTAGACGCGGAAATCATTTAGGAAAAAAATGATATATAATTCAATAATATTAAGTGTAAATATAATACCGTCCGTGTGATTATCACGGCACTACCCCAAACCGTGTGATAATTACGACCCTGCGTAATAATCACACGCGTGGTAATATTACCACGCGTGTGATAATTACGCGACACCGGGTCTGTCTGACTAGAACAGACCTGTGCACGTGCAAAAGATAGACCTCATAACGGACTTTCTTTTGTTTAAACTCTATCCGAAAAATATAGACCCGTCACAAACAATAGAGGAGGTGTGTAAGAATAGGCGAACATCACATGATTTTAATCGGAGGTTGAATGTTAATACAACTCTTTTGTTAATAAAAACACATTTGCTCTTGTAAAAGAAGGCGATTTCTGTGACTGCAACAAATGTAATCCGCATAGATATCCTCATGCTGATGAAATTGACCAAATTCTACTTTTCATAGGCTGAAAATGCTGTATTGTGCCCTTAGACGAAAATAATAATAAGTCCAAGTTTCTTAGGACTAATAATATTAATTTATTTCGACTCTTTGATTACATAAGCAAAAGTGTTGTGCATGCGTACACAATGACATAGCAGTAGCATATATATACGAAATCCGTAGAATAGTGACTGTTTATTGTATATTTTACACTTATTTCAAATAAAATAATTACATTTTTAAATTGAAACTGGAGTTGATTTCTATATTCAAACTTACACTTATTTCATGTGAGACAAATCAGTTAATACGTAACGTCTCTGTAAGGATAAAGTCATACTCAGGTTAGTAACTATGTTACAATATGCCTCTTTTTAGCATTAGCGAACAATTGAAATCTAATTACAATTTTCAGAAACACAATATATGTATCATGTACAACGTCGAGAATAAAATATAATTATATGAGTGCATGGCAAATTAATATCTCATTAACTAGAACAAAATCTACTTTGACGAAGATCCTATCTGGCAGACAATTGACCTATTTTTGCGAGTGCTCTTAATTTTTTTTACGACGTTTGGCTTTACAAAAAAATCAAAAACAACTGGCTAAAATGGCATCCAACAAACAACTTCTTTCATAAGCGCTTCCAAATGTTAAAAAGCATAGTTTCATATAACTCATATTTGTTTTTCTAGCCTACCGCCAAATAGCGCTTATAAATCAATCAATCAATCAATCCTTCAATCAATCATGTTCCACTCCATGTCGAAATTTGCTATAATGATATGTTTTATATCAGCTTTAATTTAAACTTCATCATTAAAAAGCAAATTTAAACTTTAACCAAGGAAGTTCATCACTGCATCGGTCTTTTGTCCAGTTTCCTTGACTTTTGCTTCTACTTTGATCTCTGTCCCGCTGAACATAAGAGAGACTTCAACAGAACAATCTAGTCCTCCGACAACAGTATCTACTGTCATTGAACCGATCTTAAAGCAGTCGACATCAGTGTATTCCGGATTTTTCATTGTAGATGCGTAAATTGTAAAACTTAGCAGACGCTGGTGTCTAAAAGCAGGCGTGTACGACTTTTTAACCTGAACGTGTCCAAATTTAACTTTCTGACCCATTTCGACATGTTTACTAAAAACATTTCTGCACCGTATACCAGAGTCAGTGACCATACGTTTAGAATTAGGATGCTTTCCCGGTAAAAAAGAAACTGTAGTATCGACACCATATGTGTATTTAAGTATGCGTTCGGTCACCGCTTCTGGAAGATGCCCAAAGATCAACGCTCCTTTGAGAATAGCAGACGATGCTTCATTTGGTATTATAATTTCTAAATGAGGAAACGCTTTCTTGACAGCTTCCTGCAACATTGGCGATTCTGAATATCCTCCTACCATCAGTATTGCTTTCAAATCATACAGATTATTATCCTGTATGACTGTTTTCATATGCTTAATTGTCTTGCTATTTGACTTTTCAAACAGATTTCTAAATACAGCAGCTGTGAATTTCATCTTGTCGTAAACAAATACAACTTGATCAGCATATTCTGCAGAATCACGGATGAATTCTTCCAAGTCATGTCGGTTCTTTCGTTCTGACATCTTACTGAGGGACACTGGAAATTTCATTAATATTCTTCCTTCCTTGTCGGGATGAATTGTTCTTTTCTTAACTTCAAACTCTCTCATCATCTCCAGCCAATCTTCAGTTTGCTCTTGCTTGAATTTGCCATATACCTCTTTTCCAACAAGGTCATAAATCAGATCCTCAAATGCGTGGTCTACAAGTGTTCCTCCCCAACCACCCCCGCTAGCTGCTGCCACTTCCTTAACGGCATTTGAATCAATGACCTCATGAACGGTTACATCGATCGTGCCACCTTAAAAATTGAGAAGAAAATATAGAAGAAAATCAAAACGCTGTCGCTGCGTAAGATGAATTATAGTATATAAAAATAAACTTATACAGGAAAGTACATACAGATAGTCAGTATGATTTAGATTGCAAAAATCAGAAAATACCATAGAGCTGTGCAGCCCTTTGATTTACTTTGTATATACTTTGAATGCATCGTTATATACATTTCTGTTTGTAATTGTACTGTATATGATTGTAAAACTTTATATATATATTGTATATTGTGAAATAATTAAATTTTATCGGTAACCTTTTTATGCAATATGTTTTCACTTTTTAGACATGCAAAATAATTAATTCATGACACATTTCATAAAAAATGTACCATAAACTAAACTTTTGATGAATCTTTAAACTGAGTATTATATTTTTGTGATATACGCTGCATACTGTAAATAAACAAGGATCATCAAATTTTGAACTTACCACCGGCATCAAGTATCATATATTTAGTTCCAATAGGAAAAGATGAAATGGAAGCGGTCATGGGTCCAACTGTCTTTTCAATCGGTAAGTTTCTACAGTAGATAGATGCAGCCTCCGGTTCAAGTGCAATACTTAATTTATCCTTTGTAATACCAGCCTATTAAGAGAAAAATAATTATCTTATTCTTTTAGAAACATTTTTATAATTCTTTCAGTCATGTCACCATAAAAGCCACTGACCTCCAGATGGTAAAATGAAAAAAAATGAAATAAAATTTCAAGTAAATGGTAATAACTGATCTTGTTAGGTTTATTGTATAAATCCATCATTACTGACACTTTGATTCGAGAAAGAAAGTTGACAAAAGCGTTAATATATCGGGTTTTCTTTTCCATAATCTACTACGTTACTAACGCAGTAGCCAATATAAATAGGAGAAGATATTTCATTCCGAAAAAATCCCGGTATCTGGTATGCCTGGGATCGTTTATCAATTGTCGTCATTAAGTAGGCCCCTATCTCATTTCAAGCTAAGGTTAAATCGATAAATTGGTCATCATATAAATGAAATAATTAATCAATTATAATTTTTAGTGCCATGAATAACTACAAATATAAAAACAAAAGCGGTTATTTGTATCCCTCTATATGTTTAATAAAATCCTGGATTCCGTGCGTCCCGGAGCACAGGTCGCGATATTGTCCTGTACGATCACGTGATACTAGAAAAAAAAACCCGGATGAAAGAATTCCGTGGTATAATAAAAGAAGGTATTTCCCGTTGGGGAAAAGCGAACTGTTTTCAGAGCAATAATGTTAAAATATGAACATTTTGAAGTGTCATTTCGATTTCTTTCAACTATGTAATGTTTTTGAGGGAGGATTTTGAAATATTAGCAAGAAGGCAGTTTCTCTGCTATCTTCTGGAGGTCAGCTGCTTTAAAGGTTTTTAACCAGGTTTTCAATTTTGAAAATCCTGGTTATTAGATTGGGGTATGGCGGGCGGATGGGCGGATGGGCGGCTGGGCGGATGGGCGGATGGGCGGATGGGCGGGCGTCAAACGAAATTGTGTCCGCTCTGTAACTCTTCAACCCTTTGAAGAATTTTGATGAAACTTCAGACAAATGTTTACCACATCAAGATGACGTGCAGAACGCATGTTCCGCATGGCTGGCTCCAAGGTCAAGGTCACAGTGACATTAACATTGAAAATCCTGTCCGCTCTGTAACTCTTCAACCCTTTGAAGAATTTTGATGAAACTTCAGACAAATGTTTACCACATCAAGATGACGTGCAGAACGCATGTTCCGCATGGCTGGCTCCAAGGTCAAGGTCACAGTGACATTAACATTGAAAATCCTGTCCGCTCTGTAACTCTTCAACCCTTTGAAGAATTTTGATGAAACTTCAGACAAATGTTTACCACATCAAGATGACGTGCAGAACGCATGTTCCGCATGGCTGGCTCCAAGGTCAAGGTCACAGTGACATTAACATTGAAAATCCTGTCCGCTCTGTAACTCTTCAACCCTTTGAAGAATTTTGATGAAACTTCAGACAAATGTTTACCACATCAAGATGACGTGCAGAACGCATGTTCCGCATGGCTGGCTCCAAGGTCAAGGTCACAGTGACATTTACATTGAAAATCCTGTCCGCTCTGTAACTCTTCAACCCTTTGAAGAATTTTGATGAAACTTCAGACAAATGTTTACCACATCAAGATGACGTGCAGAACGCATGTTCCGCATGGCTGGCTCCAAGGTCAAGGTCACAGTGACATTAACATTGAAAATCCTGTTTACATGATTTTAACTTGATTTGGCAGTCAAAGGTCATACCATCTTTGGAGGTAATTTAAAAAAAGATATGATATATTATTTCATGTCTACTTTGTAACTTGTTTTTCATTATACAGAATTATCAATATAATTATAGTGAACAAATTCTTCTGTGCTGAACTCGTCCTACATTTCTCAACGGATTTTGTTCAAACTTTCACAGAAGCTTTGTCATCAAGCACCCTGGCACATATTGTCGGGGTTTTGTGATTGGATAGTTTTTGACCTAATTATGGCCCTTTGTTTTTTTCCTTATACATAATATTATAGTGAACACTTCTTCAGTGGCAATTCCTCCTACATTATTCATGTTTTACATTGCACATAGTTACATTGTTTGTTGCTTGTATTTGTATTTCAAATACAACATATTTATCTACAATGGTGATAATTGAAAACCTGGTTTCATGGCATTGCCATGTTTCTTGTTTATTTTTACGCTTATCTTGACACATTGTTGATTGTATCTTGGCGGTCGATCCACCTAACGTACTGTCCTGGATAACTTACAATAATAACCAATTTCTCCGTTAGTGACCAAATACCAATCTTTTCATAAACAAGTAAATAAGAATATCAATAAACATTTGCTTAAATATGAGACATATTACGATTGCAGTCACCTTTTCTGCAGCTTCCCTCATAAACTGTTTAGCTGAATCCGTCCATATAGCTGGAACTGTCAGTACCCAATGAACTTCGTCTTGTCTGATTATCCCAGACACACGCAGTTTTACAATTTTATACATATCATCAACAAGGAACTTTATACTCATTGCAAATATATCTAATGCTGTTAAACGTTTTCCCATTTCGTCTTCAAGTTCAGTATTACGATCAAGCTTCTGAAAGGAAATATAATATGAACGTTTTCAAGTATTAGTTTGTTAAATGTCTAAGATCCTTTTATTCAAACTACAGCGTATGAATTGTATTACATTATAATATTTTTATTATTTCCAGTACCTAAAGAAATACGAAAACGGACGTTCTTAACATATTACCTCAGATAGTTGTTTGTTAAGCAACATCATGATAGCTCTATAGTTGTTTGTTAAACAACATAATACCTGAGATAGCTACTTGTGAAGCATCATGACAATACCTCATATAATAGTTTGTGAAGCATTATAATACCTCTTGAAGCAACATATAGCCTTAGATAGTAGTTTGGTTTATAAAAGCATCATTATAATACCTCAGACAGTAGTTTGTGAAACATTATAATACCCCAGATAGTTGTTTGTGAAACATAATAATAACTCTGACAATTGTTTGTATAACATCATGATATCTCAGATAGTTATTTGTGAAGCGTCATCATAATACCTCATACAATAGTTTGTGAAGCATTGAAGCAAAATTACGCCCGAGATAGTAGTTTGTGAAGCATCATGATAATACCTAAGATAGTCGTTTGTAAAGCACAAAAATACCCCAGATAGTAGTTTGTGAAGCATTTTAACACATCTGATAGTTGTTTGTGAAGCATTATAATACCTTAAACAGTAGTTTGTGAAATACCATAATACCTCAGATAATTGTTTTTGAAGCATAATAATACCTCAGATAGTTGTTTGTGAAGCGTTATAATACCCCAGATATTAGTTTGTGGAGCATTATAATACACCTGATAGTTGTTTGTGAAGCATCATAATACCTTAGACAGCAGTTTGTGAAATATTATAATACTTAAGATAATTGTTTGTGAAGCGTCATAATACCTCAGATAATTGTTTATGAAGCATCATAACACCTTAGATAGTAACTTGAGAATCATCATAATACCTCAGATAGTTGTTTGTGAAGCATCATTTTGAACTTTTTGAAGTAATAGTAATCGTGATGTTCTCCCAAATCTGCAAGCTCTCTGTATCTATTCTCTGCATCATACCCAAAGCCTTCCAACGTTTTACCATCTGGCCTAATCAGTACAACAGTTGGAGCTTTCTCGGTGGAAAGTGTACCTGAACCGGAGTGCCAATGTTTGACGAAGGCTTTTGTTGGATCATTTTTAAAGTCATGAAAGAAAGAATATGCCCATCCAGAATTTGTTGTTCCAAAATCTATAGCTCCAACAATTAAATTTTCGTTAAAAGATGTCGCCTAAAATAGAAAATGGCTTAGCTATATTGATATTTATATGCATAAAAAGGAATAATTCCAGATTTATTCCAAAAAGTAGAAAGTCAATCCATAGTCTTATAAATACGCAACACAGTCAGGATTTTCCAATATCTAGCTATGGTGTTTATTTTATTATTTCTTCATAAATATGTCGATGTGATATAAATGTATAATATTTAAACTATTTTAAATGTAACTCAGATGAGTTGTCCAACAATATATAATACTAATGTTTAATATAAGTAAATTTGAAAACAAGACTATGTGTTTTGGTTTTATTCAATTAACATATGCGCGTTTCATATGCAGAGTAGGAGTAGTTTATTAAGGAGTTTATAGGTTTAAGTTCTATATATCAAATAACACAACAGTGTCCTTTAAAGAAGGGCATGCTACTTATTGTGTGTCAGTCTTGAATAACAAACTGATGTTGTAGTTTTATTGGCTTTGTCTATCAAATAATAATAACTTCTTTTACATACGTTTAATATTTACTCAGGTAGTATGCACTTGGCAGAACTATGACTCATTAAAAATTAAATATTACGTCACAATTTCTAGGCTTAAAAGTAGTTTAAAAATATATTTTGATCAATGACTATATACATTGTTTTCAATATGTTATCAATATGTTTAAACTTATATGTTTCCTCCAAAATTGTAATAATACAAGGATTACACAAGCCAAGGTTCATGTCATTTTAACACTTACATATTTGGAACAAATAATCCTTAAAAATGACCTATTCTGCATGGCTTTAAGTTTTAGAAACGAACGCTTAAATGTTTAAACTCCTATGAAATATGTAAGCAATGAAAACTTACCATGGTTTTACATTCCACAAGTCAGATAAATTTATAGAATTTCTACACTTTTTGAGTAGCTTAATATCGCATTCAATAATGTATCACAAATTTTGCATTTAATATCCGAATATATTAATATAGAAACTCAATTTGTTCCAGTTTAGTTTCGTAACGATTTTCTGAAAATGATCTTGAAAAAGAGGCATACACCGTACATTAAATGAATAACGAAATAGATATTCTAATTACTAATCTTTCATATTGTATTACACATTTTAGTTTGGCCTTCATGTTAAAACATTAAAGAACAATAAAGCCTTTCTTTTGCAACGCATGATAAACTGTACATGTTAATATGATCAATGTCAATCCAAAGTCGTATGAAAAGACTTACAATACATGACACGGCTCACTTTAAAAAAATACCCCATACTATTTAACTTCCTTATTTGTTAAGCTATAAAAAGATTTAAGCAGTTTATCAAAACATGTTTCTTCCATGCCCAATGTCATTTTCATCTTAAAGGTACATGATACCTCATAAATGAATATCTATTTCATTCTTAAGAAAGGGCAAACAGGAGTTTAAAAATATTTAAATAATGGTTTTAGAGCATTTTAAATGCTTATCACACGAAGAAAGCAGCTATGAATGTGAAATTGTTTGTTATAAATATAGTAAAATGTAAACAAGGTAGTATTTTGACGTCCATACAAAATACTAAATCTATTTTATATATACTTTTTTATATCTATTTACAAAAGATTCAAAAGACGTATCAGAAAATTGGCCAATGGGTAACTTCTTTGAAAACATAACAAAACTGCAAAATTATAAAGTTTTTGAAAAATGAAAATAAAAGTTTTTTTTGGGCATAATATGCCTTTAAAGGGAGACACAGGCAAAATTTTCATTTCTTCGTTTTTAATTTTTCTATATTCAATATTCAATATTCTATAAAAGTCCTCGAAATAAATACACTTAGCAGTCACAGGAACAAAACTTTTCTCCTTATAAAGATGGTGGTTTCCCACGTGGGACAGGTTAAAGCATTTATATTTCACAATGGTTGTTATAAAGAACTATGAAAACGTGAAAGTACCTGACAAATGAATGACTTATACTTTTTTCAATGTAAAAAATATCCACAATATCTGTTTTTTCCAGAGTTTTTTTACTAGTTACATGACTTGTTTTAAAATTACTCGGTGACTCTGTCTGCTACTTAATTTTGTTAAATACAATTATAAAGATATAATTACGCTTCAAGCCCAAAATATATAGTACTTATAGAGAAATTCCTGCTAGGACATTTAAAAATGTCAATGTAGCATGATTTGGGTAGATATGTTCAAATTAATAATTTTGTCATTAATTTGCCTAAGTATCTCTTTTAAGCTGAAAATTGTTTCTGTTTAATAATTAGTAAAGACCTGGAATGCCAGATGACATACTTCAAGAAATATTTTCTGTCCATTTGAACAAAGGTCAAAATCAAAGTGATCCTGACATTGTCATAATATTAATTCAAAAATTTATTAAGGCATTTGTATGGTGCCTGGTTAACGCCATGTCGTATTTTCGCTTCTTCGCCCCGAAATGAAGGGACGAAAAAAGCTAGACTTTTTTCGTCCTTTCGTGTTTTTGCTTTTCGGATTTTCAGCGCAACAGAGCGAAAATACGACAGAAGGAGGGAAAAATACGACACATAAAATCAGCCAGCATAAATTTGCCTATATTTAGCAGCTAGATACTAAAGTTGCATGTGACTTATATTTTATAGTTCCTTAGAACATTTGTATTCAGATGATATTTGTGGAGAAATAAGCAGTCATTTTAAAAAAAAATACTTCAAAGTTGTTTAGTTTATACAGACTTAATTTAAATGATGTGCAGGAAGCTATAAGCTTATGGAAAAGCTCTTGAATCCGTTCCTGGAACAAATCAGTACTTAGCAATGACTGTCAAGTTTCTTGCTAAAGGAAACAACAGCTTGACCTTGTCGGGCAAAAATGTGACAAAGGTATAAACTACTTGTTCATCCCGCCACTCATGTACTTGTTTAAAATTCAATAGAAATCATGATTGAATTATATGTGGATTGATATGTATATGATGGAATTGGATGATATCATACGGTCATATTTTATGTTCTCAGGTTGTTGATTTAGATATTTGAAGTGGAATTGTCATGATGAACACACATATACTTTCGGGAGACTTTCCATCAAATTGACTGTAAGTCAAATTTATTTTTTTTATTCTGTGACTTCAAAATATTAAGAAATCATGATGATGCAATGAAATTGATTGAATTTTATTTGGCTGTCACGTTCTTTAGTTGATCTTATAAATATATTTGAACATTTACCTTCTAAAGGCCGCTTGGCCAAATAAGGAAATGAATTTGATGCTTTATTTAGCAATAAAATGTCTTGAAAACCGTTACTTTGGTTTTCACTCTTTCAATTTATCATTTTGCGGTATAATTGCTATTCACTGATAACATCGCTTGCTTTATATAATTTATTTATTTATCGGATACTCTATAACCTTCGGTTAAGAAAATATGTTATAATGACAATATATACAATGTTTTTCAGATATTGATGCTTAAGTTTTTTTCAGCTTAACTATTCGAAGAAAAGTGAGAATAATTATTATCACCCAAGCACTGATGTCGACATCATACTGTGGTTAAGTGTTTTGCATGAAAACCGGTATCTCAAAAACCACGGAAGAAAATTGGTCAAAACTTCACACACTTTTGACGCCCATAGCTCCAACATGGATTTGCCAGAATCATAGCCTTTACTAACTTTTTCAAGCGGAAAAGGTTTATTTTAATTACCTTACATATTTCACATTTTGGTTTGTCAAGAAAAATAAAAAAAATGAAAAGTTAATAGAAATGTTTGTGATTTTCAAAATATGTATCATTAAAGAATAGTTTGTTTTACTTGTTTCCCACACCAGTCATTTTTCACATTAACATCTTTTAATCTGTTACAAGCTTTGTACAATAAGATGTCAGGTAAGGAGGTTCATTGACACACTGTTTGTTCAAAAGAGCTTGGAAACATTTTTCTAATTAAAAATGGGTCTAATCAGGATTTGTTTAAATGCTTATATGTTTATAACAGTACCAAGCTCACATAGCAAATGGCATCCAAGATGCACTAGAGACACATTTAGTTGGTACCATACGATAGATTTCATAGAGCTTGTACGGTCGTAAGAAAGAAAAAAACAATCCGTGTTGCAAGTGTTTCGATGGATAGTGTATACAGTTTGACAAAATATGTGTAAGAGTAGAACAGGCGGGTCAATGCACGTCTGAATGCAATTTTTTTATAAGTAATCAAACTTTTTAGTAATCTAAAATTATTTTTTTTTAAAATAGAAACAAGACCAATTCATTACACTTGTCTCGAACTTGTTTTATTTCAATTATCAATTTAATAATAAGTGAGATCTATATTGATACACTCATGCCAAAGAACTTGTCACATCAATTCTAAGTGATTCTTATATATACTTCAATAAATGCCACTCATAGAAAATTGAAGCCGTATGATTATGATGGAACTGACGACCAGCAGCCAATTGTATAAACAATTTAACCGCGCGGTTACCACACGGTTACGGTAACCAGCCCGGTAACCTCGCGGTAAGCGATTGTATAAAAAACATCAAAAGCAGTTACCGCGCTATAACCGCGGTTAAATTTAACCCAGGTAAAGTAGCTCGGTAACTGCACGGTAACCAAAACGAACATGGCGGACATTTTACGCGTTTCAAGAATACTTAGCGTAGAGTTAGAGTACATTGTGTTAGAGTTAAAATATTGGTCTTATGTCACTCTATCGTTTTTCTTAGCTCATACTATGGTTGGTTCATCAAGGGCAATTTTGTGTGAACTAGATAGTTATTAGCGACGTGATTTAAATACAATTGTAAAGGCATGACAAAATGAATTTGATTCTGTGTATCAGGCTGAAGTTTTCATTTAACAATGACAGGAAAGACAATTGGAATATATTGAATATAATGGATCAATTCCGCAGTTAGCTCAGTTTATCTGAAAATTTACTCGGAAAGCATATCCTATTGCTATACCTGAATTTGTGGAGTTTCTTGATCTTGATTATTCTACAGGTGCTTTACCTGACACTGAAATAAGATTATGATTACGGGGAGTGGATTTTTCAGTCTATTGGTGAAGCAGAACAGATTACCGTTTGTTTAGATACACATAAAGTAACTGAAAGAAGTAAAGGTCGGCACGCTGTAAAAAATGTAACAAATGAGACCGACAGCATTGAACAAGGCTTGATGAGCTGTCCAAGCAGATGAAAAAATTGATGGAACAAAAAAAATGTGAAAACCGTGATCAAGCTCCACATTACTAATAAAGTATGGGTGGTTATCAGAAGATCTGTCTTAATTCCCAAAGTAATGGAAGACACAATTTGTTAAATAGAAAATGCTGACCTAAAAAGAAATCAAATTAATTTTAAAGAAAACCCGACGTCCAGGGAAACGAAATAATGTCGAGCTTAGAGGCCGGAGTCCGGTCATGAATATAAGGTCCCACACAAAGATATCTATTAAAACCGTTCAGTATTGTGTATTAACTACCCTTTAGAAGTTACAGTAAAAGAAATCTTAGTACTTCCCATTAACGCTGTGCAAAAGATGTGAATTCATTTTAGATTGTAAATATCAGCGTTGATATTTTCATGAATATTTTACTTTTTTAAATTATCACAGAACCAAGTGGAAATCATCTTTGTCTTTTTGTAGTGGATATCTATAGGTTCTTTCAGTTCTGTTTTTAAGAACCTGCTTTCAGCAAGTTGCAGTTAAATGAAGGCATTCGAGTTTAAAAAGTGCAATATTCTATTCATATCTGAAAAAAAAAAACATTAACCCATTACACCATGAGCATTTTATAAAAAATGGCTGGCTGCTTTCATTGAAAGATTCCTGTTACAAGTTCTATTGCTGTAAAAGATGCTTTAATATTCATCAAACTTGGCACAAATGCTGACTGGACCATAGCCTTTGTAACGGTATGCTTATTCTTAAATTTCCTGTTACCATGGAAACGAGGGAACATCTCAAAATTGCCAAAGAACACTATTTTGCATAGATTTTTTTCCATCAAAACTGATTTCA